TTTATTTATGTTATGACCGCCAGGGTGCTAATAGTATAATTGCTCCAACATGAGACGCCTGGAATTGAATTAACATAATTTCACTTTCAAAGATCTAATTGTACATGACCTACATACATTCTGGGGTCCTGAGGAGCTGCTCATCAACACTTAATTGTAAGATGTTCTATAGTTTGCTAGACAAACACATTTCTGCTTTAAAATTGCACAGTTCTTTAGAGTGGGAGATGAGTAGACAGAATAGGCCTTTCTCTGCAATAATGCTTTCAGTGCTTCGCTGTGAAGAAGCTGAGCCAGAAAACAAACTCCTTAATTTAGCGTTCTGTCTATATTTCGATCCCACTTGTGGTCATTAGATTTAGATTGTGGCTTCGACATCAAGATCTCAGCTGTGAGAAGCTGAACTGAGCAAAACCGTACAGATCAGGTCAGTAGTTCCACCAATGGGAAGGAGTTTTGGACACTTTTTGACAAACCTCAGGGCAGGCCTGGGATTTGCTGAAGGGACCATAAATCTGTCCTAAACTTGCATTAATTACCTTTGGATTAGTACATGTGAGGTAAAAGAAAACCCAATTTTCAACTCGCCAAGTCTCTTGCACTGAACTTCAATTTCAGTTATTCTGTACAATTATTTTGTCTCTAGGATTTGAGACAAAATAAATAGATGGAACTCATTGTATTTAATACATTTGTTTAGTTGACATGAAAATTGCACACAAACAGAACGGATTACGTTTGTAACTGATCCATTTCACCCAGACTACATAGCTAAAGCTAATTCACATCACTAGTGCTTTGTTGGGCATTTTTAAGCATTAAAGTGCATAAAATTCTTAAGTCGAGATGCAAAAAATTACATACATTTTCCTCTTTATGTGTTCACGAACAACCTTGCAACCTCCAAATTTATATAAATAGTCTTGCACATCTTGCACATTCAACTCACTAATGCATGCACTTCCTCTCCCACTGAATCTGAGTATTACGGATGGTCAATCAGTTTTATTTGTATAGCATTTTTCAGCAACAAGGCGTTTCACAGTGCTTTACATCATAACAAAAATAAATCATGGAACACACCGTCAGCCATTGAAACATAGGATTTTCCCATTGTTGATTGGTTCATTTGTTCACATCTTTGCTTTTTCTTTAGTGAATATTTTGTCATATGAACAAACTTTCATGCTGTACCTCAGTGTTGTTTTGAAAAAGTGTCCTGACCAAACTAGGGTCTAAGTGGGGGAGTTATGCAACACAATATGGCTGAACTTAAGAGACCAACTGCAAGCTGGCAATTTGTTGTTCTAAAAATGAGTGTTACTGAAACAACATCTGTACTTTGCCTCCCTCAATTCCTTCCCAGCTGTGACAAAGGAGTTTTATGCAGTAGTCCCACCTTGCTTGGTTTGTTTTCCCTCTTTCTCAGCTCTAACTTGGTAAGGAGAACCGCTGTGCAGGAATATTTTGGGCATATTTCTGATAGACGGCTTGTTTTCTGAAGGAACAAACTGTGCATGTTGGTTAAAAAACTCAGCTCTTGAACAGCTGAAGGAACAGCAGGTGGATTTATTAGAACTTTAACTTTTGACTTCCTGCCAGCATATATCTGCCATCACAAAGTGTTTTGGCAGGCTCATAGATTTGGAACCACGAGTGTCTGCTTGGAACTGGGCACCTTTTTTGTTTCCAAGAACAAAATGTTTAACTGTACCCACTGTGTGATCAGTATTGTTTCCCCTTGTAATCCAAATCAGAGGGACAGTGGGTTTCATTAGCTTGAATCATTTGATTTGTAGAGGCGTAGTGGCCTTGTTTTACAAACATTAATTGATATTTGTGCTTTCCACAAACTTGGATGACAACAACCATTGACTTTTGAAATAATCAAAGCAGTTTTGAAGCCCAATTTGTATTTTACTGTCACAGCTGTGATTTTCAATGTGATTTGGATGTAGTTAGTTTTCCTAAACTAAAATAAGGTGGTATAAGGGTGAAAGCAGTAGAGATGGAAAGGGTCACAAAAATTACAGTTTGTTATTCTTTAGGTACGCTCCAATCAAGAAAAAACAAAACTATTATAAGCAGTATAAAATAAAAAAAAAGATTTGTTGAAATATTTTTTCTCAAATGTAGTGAAAATGATAGATTTTAATGGAGATTGGGTTGAATATATTTCAAAGAATAAAGTAGCATAAGGAGGCATAGTCGATGCCTGAATATATCATGAAAACCTCTCAAACACTTCATGTTGATGAAACATTTTAAAATAAGACTATACTCATATTTGGGAATAAAAGACGTTTAAACCTCTTATTTCATCAAACTATTGTATCAGCTGCATGTAAATACAAAGTGCAGCTGTTGGAAAATCCAGTCTCATCTTCAGAGATTCCTTTCGCTCCCACTTCACTTTGTAAATATATTGTGTTTGAGTTAATTGGATGCTACAGGTAGCCATTTACACTTCAGCTTTTTTACTCCAGTATCCATTATATTTTCATTAATTTAAATCAGTTTAGTCTAGAGCTGCATGATGATTATTAATGTTGTCAAATACCAGGTGAGTGGTAGCTGGGAGTTCTCTTTTTTGTTTTGTCACTTTTTTTTAAAGCTGTGCTGATGATTTTGTGTCTGCACTTAATTCCTGCTCCCCTTTGTATTTTGTTCTGCTCCAAGTTCTCCACTGATCTTACCCTTGTTTTAACTTGTTGGGTCAACCAGTCATGACCCCCCATGTTTTACAACTCCTGTTTGGCTAAAAAAATTATTAACCTTTTAGTCTTAAGAAGTTCACGGGATAGATGGCACAAAAGTTCAGGTGGAGAGAAATGCACTTGCACTGAACCCAGATTTGAAATGAGTGGCTAAAATCGTCGTCTTTGAAATCAAAACCCTTGCATACCTTTAGACGATTCACTGTGAGGTGGGAACATCAGAGATATTAATTCCTTTTCCTCCTCCCTGCATGTTGATCTAATTTACGTGTGTCGATCTCCCCTTGGCTCTTCTTCTCGCTTCTTCATGAATGAAAGCCAGCTTTGGGATTCGCCTGGTGCCAAACGCCTTCTGATTAGATTTCCTTCGATCTGGAGTTCTGCCACCAGATGAGATTTCAATCCTCCAGAGACTCCAGAGGAACTACAATCCTCCAGGCGGAGTAATCTGATTTGTTCCAGAACGTGAAAAATCTTGCCTGGTGGCAACACGGGACAAATCCTTTCTATATGTAATTGGAGGCCTCTTTTAATCTGATTGGTGTTTACTTTTGTCATTTGATGTGTTGCCATCTGCAGAATAAAATACTTCCATCAATTATGGTTATGTGGAATTTTTTATTATTTTTCGAAACTTTAGAGAAAAAGATTCAACAGAGCTTATTGTGGTACATGCAAACCTACTTTCCTTACTTTAAGTCATCCCACCGATATTATTGCACTCCTGGTCTCACTGGGCGGTAGTCTGAAACTTGCTTGGGTTGCTGAACGAGGGTGACATAATGATATGATGCAAAGCAAAGGCAGCTGCAGAACCAGCTGTGGTTCACAGTGGAGAGCAGGCACGCGGCATGATCTTCCAGGAGTCATCTGATGTGAGAAATATGTTCCTCAGCAGAATCTGATTTAGAAAACATGTGGAACTTGGTGTTTGACAACTTGTTTGTATTTGAAGCACTGAATGGATTTGGCTTTGTGATTATTGTACAAAAATGATCTGCAGCCAGTCATTCTTGTTGATCAACAAGTAAAGTTTGAAGACACTTTTCCATTGAACTAATTGTTTTTCAGTTGTTTTTTTTTCATAAATGGAAATATATTAAGATAGTTGTCAATCTTCTCTGAAATCAACGTCCCAACAGATTTACCCTGAAATCACACAAGAAAATCCAAGAGTTCAGTCTCGGTTCATACAAGCTTCAGCTGAATGTTAACGTTCTTGTCAGTGCAGTTAGATTTAACTCCAATGGTTTGAGATGAATCTAAATGAACTGAAACTATATTTTGCTCAGATGAAAGCAAGGATATTTCTCTATATAGTATAGCACTGTTTTACTTTTTTATTTTTTATAAAATGAAATGTAGCGCCACTGCATACCAGCACAGGAGTGAAAGTGTTTTAAATGTGAGTTTGCTTTGCAGTCACACAACCTGGGCACCTTTCAGTGATGGATTATAATCTCTATTGTACAAAAAAGTAGCCCAGAGTCAAAATGTGAGGCAGCATGTCCAACAATGGGTCATGCAAGCAATCTTGTAGAGAAGATTGAACCAGAACTTTCCCACAACAGCATGAAAGACTGATGGTGTCATAAAGAAAAGGGCTACTTCAAGATGGAAAGGTGCAGCATGCTTCAGCAGACGTTTCATTCTTTCACTTTATTATTATTTAGTAAAGATATGAAGAACTGTTCAGCTGAGTGAGATTAAAATAATCTTAGAATCTGATAGAGGTCAGATAATTTTTTTGGAATCTCCTGATCCTTGAACTGAAAGTTAACGTTTTATTTTTATCCTTGCTTTGTGTAGATTCAACCGTTCATTTCTAACTGAGTTTATCACATTTAATTTTAGTCTTTGGAAACATAAACTGGCGGAGGGGTTTGTATTGACTATATGAAATTGCATGATTGAATTTTAAAACATTTTCTGAAGGAGCCCATTTGCTGATTGCAATTGGTTTTGCAATTGGTTGAATTGTCCTAAATCTCAAATATCATTATGGATTATATCATTTGTTAGAAGGAAATGAAAAATTGCACACATCCTCACTGAACTTTTTTCTGGATATTCATGAGAGTGGATTTCACAAAGACCTTTCATAAACAGCCTCATCTTCACTTGGGTGTTTCCTCGGCCAAACTCGAACACCATTCCATCAAAAGCAAACATTTGGGAAATTACCTGACTTCTGAGAAGATGAACATAATTTGTTTTCATCTGTTGGCTAAGTATAACAAATGAAAACTCATAAGTAAACTTCTGTGTTTTCTGTTTTTGCAGGACATCTGAGGGGGTCCACCCCCGCCTCTTGACTTGTTCTTCACATCTCTGTCGCCTCTCCAGCTGGAAGAGCCACAGATGAGACCCAGCATATTTTAATACTGTAAGTACTGTTGACCTTTGCATCCCAGCATCTTTTTTTAAAATCATTTTAATTGGTTAAAGGGAAATTAGTATATTTAGGATTGGCCTTAAATTACACCCAATGTCATCCTCTCAATTAACAGATGATGCAAAAGAACCAATCAGTAAATAAGGAGCTTGATTTATCTTTTTTTTTTTTACATTTCTTGTCCAACACATTTCTCCTCCAGGAAATGGCCAACATCCTAAACAGCTGCATCAGAAACTTATAGCCTCCATATTCCAGGCATCAGTTGTATCAATACACCATGCAGGTCTCCTTGTGAACTGACTTTGTGTTTGTGCTAAAAGCAGCAAAGACACCTCACTGGTTTTTCAGCTATCAGGTTCAGCTTTTTTTTTTTTTCCTTTTCAAATGCAAAGTTGCTCTTCAAGTTGTTGGATTGCAGTGGCGAGGTTGTGGTCCTTAAGTGCAGCGGCAGATGAAATGAAATGTCAAAATAAGTGCAGTTGTGTCCTTGTCTGTTTAGTGTATTTTCAGAAAAAGAGAACAGAAGCACCAATCCCAAAACAGGAAATCAATAAATTCTCAGTGCAGTTATATTTTAAAAAACTACACTATATTAATAATGTGCAGGGACTCCTTTTTCCCTGTTTGCTGTTACCTGTTTTTCTTTCGAATGGCTGCTATGAGCTGGTGGAAGGAACCGTTAAACTATCATTCAACATGAGTCAGTGCTCTCCTTTTTTACCAATAGATGCAGCGTCATAAATAAAATATTCCATCTATTCAGCTTCAGCAAAGGCATTGCATTGTGAAATGGACTGATTCACTTTCCAGCAGTGTCTCATTACAATCAAAGGCACAAAGAAATAAAAGTGAATCCAACAGAACATCTGCTCAAGGTGTGTGTGAATGCCAACATGTGAAGCAATATTTTACAAGTACTTCTTTTGCGGCTTCATCATTTTTGTCTGCTTTATTTTCTCACTCTGTTATTTTGCAAAGTGCAGCTTTTGTGCAGATTGTTGTTCAGAGTTTCCCAGAATCCCTTTAGGCAGCTTTTGTTGCAGCATCTCGGTTCCTCGTCGTTCTCACCTCACAGAAAGATTTTTTTTATTTTGTCCACTCAGCTTCTTCCTGACAGATGAGTCATGTCACGTTCATCAGCTGGTTGAAACTCCTTAACCTTGTTAATTTAAACGCGTTCAAAGGCTCAAGTAGGACAATCTGTTAGGACAGCTTTTCACCATGCACAAAATTCAGTGATGAACTGATTTACTTCCAATTACCTCTTCTGTTCTTAACATAAATATGCTTATGGGACACAGTTACTTCTACCTTTGAAACATGGTGGCCTCTGATCTGTGTGTGGTTATTTAAACAAAAGGAATCGATACATTATTACGCGTAGAGTCATTTTTACAATCAAGTGATTTGGGTCATTTGGTTCGGGTCCATCAACTGCAACTGTTTGGTCTCTTGGCTTTACAGCTGAGCAACAGTTAAAGACTTTAATCTTTAAATAGATTAAAATATTCATCTATGACTTTGTAATTTCTTTTCTGCTGTACAATTTTTTTATGCTGCAAGATTTCTAAAGCAATGCGTTTGATCCAACTGTGTTAAATTGCAACAATAACAACATAAAAACGTGCAGCTCCCAGATGAACCATGAAGACACCATAAAAATTGGATGATCACTTTTCCCTGCGGTATCTGAACAGACGTGTGGCCTCCATAAAGCAAAACTGGCTGGCCAGAGATTTTTCTTCTGCCCTTTTTATTCTTTTTGTGGAATAAATTTTTCAGTCTGGTTCAAACAGTTTCCCTCTGATGCGTTTTTTTTTTTTTTTTTATTCCCACCTGTTTTTATTCCCTGCTTTGGAACAGTAAATGTCACAACAGTGTTGCAACTGGGGATAAAAGATACATGGAAGACAGAATTTGAATAAAAATAGAGGGAATGCTAGAATTTTGTATTTTTCTATTGCACTCAATTTTTCCCATATTCATTTGTTTTTTTTCAAATGGTAATGTCTTTCAGTCACTTTTTATAAACTTCCTCATTCTGTCTGTGCTTCATTTGCCTTTCAGCTGTTAGTTCCTTTTTTTTTGACATATTCATTATTCATTTTATTTCTTTTTCAGGTGGTCGGGTTCTTGCATCCTTTTTTAGAATCTTTCATCCAAACTGCAATATACTCCCTTCATTCCTCACTTTTTCTCCTCTTATTAATCTCTGTTCATTCATCCTCAGTTTGGATTTGTTGCGTCTTTATTTTCATGTAAATTCCTTTTTTCTCATTCGATGACATTTTCCAGCTGACCCTCAGTTTCTGTTATTCTCCTTTCCTGACTTTACTCCATTCATCCAGTTACATCCAGACAAAAACGGCATTCTGCAACCTCTAGCACAAGAACGGCTGAATTGACTCGCACACATGCTTCTTAAAATGTTTCAGATCGACAACATTTTGTGGAAAAGTAGGAAAAAACACGTCCCAATGTCACAATCAGTGCAGTCATCGCTTATGTGGTGGCACAATGGCGAAGCAATGAAATGGTTCATAAGAAACACTAAAAATGAACGGAAATGGAGCAAGAAGAAGGCGGTCTGATGTAGCACTCAATCACTGCTTCTTGTTCAGCCAGCCCCCTGAGAGCCAGAAATGGCTTATTTTTAAATGGCACAGATTATTGAAGTTTTTCTTTGCCCGATGACTGATATGTAGATGTCAAAACCAACTCAAACACAATCTTATCGTTTTGTTTTTGGTTTAAAAATCTCAACAACAACCATCTACAGGAGAGAAGGATTTGGAAAGAAAATGCCGTTGCATTTTAAACAAAAAAAAAATGTATCTGAAGTTTCATTTCTGATCTATTTTGAGGAGTCTTTATTTGTTTCTACTCACTAGTTATGTAAATGTGACACCTTACAGTAGAGGAAAGATGAAAAGAAGCTCTTTATTTTGCATCACTCAAAGCACAGCCTGACTTTTAGTTTGTTTTTTTTAAGCTTCTCTTGCAGCTAATCTTTTAGGAATCTATTACTAATATAACTAATTAGTCCAGACAGCTGAAATTGTTTTATCAATGAGTCTGATGTCTAAAAATAGGAGAAAATCAAACGTGCGCAGAAGCATTGCTGACTGTTGTAGATGGCTTAGATCTAATTCAGAAAGAGTAAATGTCATTTATAGCTGCTGGATATATATGCAACAATTATGGAATCCGAACAAATGTAGCATTGACCGAATGAAAGCATCAAATAATCAAAATAATATATATATATATATATATATATATATATATATATATATATATATATATATATATATATAGAGCTAGAATATATTTAGAAATTCATGCAATCTGCTTGTTAAAGTCAAGATATATTTCCATATATTTATATTCATTTTGAGGGTTAATGTAAAATATTTCAAATTCTAGATATTCTTCAGTTTCTGGCCATAAATTCCTCTCAATGCCAATATATTCTCATGAATTCTTATGAATCCATGAGACTATATTAAGAAAGATTTCCAACTTTTTTCAACCTCACACAAAGGCCGAATTTTCAGCCCAAGGTGGTCAGGTTACTTTTAAATGTGAAAAAGGAAGAAAAAAATTTATAAAATATTGACTTTCTTGACATTCTTCCTTTTGCTGCACATACAATATATAAAACATGGGGGCTTCATAAATGATGCACATATTTTGTATTCACAACAGAACATTTGTTTCTCAAATTCTTTATTTCCGTGGGTCAGAACCCGCACTAGAAGCGATTTTTAGACGTTCCGTATTATATATTGTCAGCCTACGTCGTTGGATAACAAACGATGCATTTGCACTGCGTTTCTCTCACTTGGCTCAAAGGTGAGGAATGATGCAGAAAAGATGCTGACAGGCTTCTTGATTCCCATCTTCAGTGACCGGATTAAAAACAAATCACTTCCCCTCTCGCCTCTCAGCCATGATATTATTCTTTTTTTCTTTTTTTTTTTTGATTGCACAGTTTTATTGCATAGCTTTATTCCAAAGCGTTGTTTCCTTCACAACACTTTGGAATAAAGTTGATTTCCTCGACTGTGGGCGGCCTGTAAATTCCTGTAGACATTGGCACACCATCATGTTCACTGAACAAAGATATTGTTTTTAAGTGTGCACTCAGTTCGCAAATCTGCCGGCACAGATTGCGAAACATAAGATACTGATATCCCATCTGCAACACTCTTCAATTAATTTATTGATACGTAGAGCTGTGTTTTCAGTTTTGGTGGATTTGTGCTTACGTTTGGTAGTTCACAGATTGTTCAAGACCTGTGCGATGCCAAAACTTTTTTTTTATTGCTTATAGATTAAATGAAAGCACAATAGATGCAATAGTTGAGGAAAGGAATAACTTTGTGACACACAGGAATAATTTCTTTTGAATTAGGTTAACATTTAGGTTTATGCATCAGACTGCAGATCAAAGTACCTTCCTTCTTTCTATTTATATATTTTCTTAAACATGTTTAGTGTGGAGAGACACAGAAAGCAAATCTGTACTGAGGCCAGGCATTGGTTGGCAGGGTTCTTCTCAGCCAGCAGTGAACCACAGGAAGCATAAGAGCTGATTTCAAGCTGCATGAAATCAGGATTTCACAGAGCTAAATGTGTTGCTGCGCCTCCCCAAACAGAGGCCAGCAGATTGATTACAGCCTGGATTAGTTTTGTGCCCGATCCATAGTTTACTCATTAATACCGTAAACTTTCAAAGGAAACAGTGAGAGCCGGAGGAGGGGAGAAAAAAAACTAAAGACTGTAGCTATTCTCTTTTCCCTCTTTCTGTTAGTTCCTCAGTCCGATTATAGTTTCAGTTTCATTTAGGTGGTCTTTCAGTTACTCCGGCACCCGTGAAGTTTTTTTTTTGTTAGAATTTGTCCTTCAGCGTGACACACAAAAACAAAACCACGCACACAGGCGCACAGCGGCAGAAACTGGTGTATTGCCTGTCAGTTTGAAAA